TATCACTAAAAAAATACAACAGAAACAAGATGGAGGGGTACCTGTCCTCAAAGTAGTTATAGTCTACTTAACAACTTAAGCAGAATAGCTGATACTTAACATGAGCAAACTTGCTAAACAACACTTTTAAGCCTCACTTTCCCCCAACATCGTTTCTCTTCCATCCCTTTCAAAGTAGAGGCCATTCAATTTCCAATGTCCTTCATATCCCATGGTTGCTATTTTCCTGACTCTCTAATAATCCCTTTCCCACAGGCTATCCTTGATAGTCTCTGCCTCTTTTGGGATTACACTATTCATATTTAGTTCGCTATCCCCATATCATACCCATTAGCAGTTTTTACACCTAGCTCATAGTCTTTTCTGACTCCTGTCACCACCATCCCAAACAACATAATGGGTTGAGTTCCTTCCAACAACTTTTAAGTTAAACAGGAAGACAAGACAGCATGAGAACTAAGATGAGCAAGCAGCAACAAGGCACTGAAAATGGCACTCATCCTAAATACCTGACTACATCTTCACTGCAGTCAGCCTTTCTAAGGAATAAAAACCAATGGCTCCTACCCCCAACAGGATAAAACTCAAATCCCCTACAATGTTTTTCAAAATCTAGCCCAAACCACTTTACTATCCTCATTTCCTACAAAAACATTCGAAGATGCTTTTGTTCATCTTTATGAACATGTTCACCTTCCATGTATACTGATCTCACTATGCTCATATCTACCTGCCATTTTTCTCATGCAACTTTATCTCCTACTAGGACAGTATTTTGGTTTTGTTCACATGATGCATCTTGTGTAATGCTTTAAGTCTAATTGAAAGTGACCTCCTCCTTTCTACCTTCTGCTGAATTCCTCAGGCAAAATAATTCCCCCTCAAATCTGATTACCTCACTAAAATTATGGGATTCCTGCTGGCAAGAATCACGTCTTATTTATTTTTGGGTGGTTGAAACATAGGAGAAACTCAATCTCTGTCTCAAATGAATCTGTCTTTGCTAAGGAAAATCTTATTCCCAAGTGTTTCTATCAATATCCTTAACTCACTACAGTCATTATATTTTGTATATAAATGCCACTAAAAACATTAATGTTTTCTATTAAATTAATTCACATTTGCCTAGAAAAATGGGAAAAACATCCCAAAAGCTTTATTATAAAAGTAAGTCTGTGTAAGTAACAGGCATACAGAAGAATCCAGATTACCTTAAAGTTACCAACTTCATTTCCAGAGGCAATCAGTACCCTCACATATAAATAACTTACAAACAAATATAATATTTAAAACTGGTTCTTCTTCCTCCTCTAGAAATAGGGAGAAAAATATACTGAAAAGGTAGTATACACAGAGACATCATTTTCAGCAAATAAGATCCTAGGTACAAAAATGGTGAGGTATTATTTGTTCTACCAAAAGACATTGCAGTTTACAAAGAAATTCCAAAAAGAAAGTGACTTGAAACTTCAAAATATGTTTCCTTCAAGATTTCAATTTCCTTACAGGTAAAACAAAGTGCTTAGAACAAATTAGAACTATAAGGCATACAGTAAGTCTAAAACATAACTTCCACAAAGACAGGAATCTTTGCTTGATAGAGTACAAACGCTTACACCAATGCCTGGCTCAACAGGCCGTTTTCTGAGTAAATGAAAAGTGAGCAGGACGAAGCTCCTCTTATTCTGGCTGCCTCCTATCCAATTTCTGAAGTAAGATATTATTAGAAGAATAGAACATATGGATAGAAAGACTGAAAATGACTAGAATAAATGTTCTTTCCAGTAATAACTAAAAAGACAAGTTAATTTTAAATGTTAACTTTGTTTTTGTTCAGTCATTTTCTAAGACAAACTTTCAAGGTCCAAGAATTTTTAAAGGTTCATTTATGTGGTTACCATGTTATTTGATTAGTACTATGGAGTATAAAGATTAAGAAATTAAGCATAAGGTAAATCTAAGAAAACTGCTAAGCATCACAAAATTGAGATAATAATGCTCTTGCTACATTAAAACTAAAGTTTCTTCCTTGACTTTAAGAAAAATTAAAAATTGAGGCCAGGCACAATGGCTCATGCCTGTAGGAACCCAGCAGTTTGAGACTAGCCTGGGTAACATGGTGGAAACCCTGTCTCTACAAAAATCACAAAAAAATTTAGCCAAGCATGGTGGGAGCGCCGGTAACACAGCTATGTAGGAGACTGAGGTGAGAGAATCACTCCAGCCTGGGAGGCAGAAGATGCAGTGAACTGAGATCATGCCAATGTACTCCAGCCTGGGTGAGAGTAGGGTCTTGTCTCCATAAAAAAGCTGAATGCCATGGCTCACACCTGTAATTCCAGCACTTTCGGAGGTCAAGACAGTTGGAGAGGCTAGGAGTTCAAAGCCAGCCTGGACAACATGGCAAAACCCCATCTCTACTAAAAATACAAAAATTAGCCAAGCATGATGGTGCACGCCTGTAATCCCAGCTACTCAGGAAGCTGAGGCAGGAGACTCACTTGACTCCATAAGGTGGAGACCGTGGTGAGCCAAGATGGTGTCACTGCACTCCAGCCTGGGTAACAGAGGAAAACCTTGTCTCAAAAAACAAACAAACAAAAAAAATTGAAATGTTTTTATCCCAAACATATCACGGCAGAGGAATAAACAGCCTTAGAATCTATTATCTTACTAAGTCTTAATAACCTAAACTTAATAAGACACATAATCATAATTTTTAAAGTTCTTTGGGCTAAAACAAACAACCTCAAACTCATTTTATAGATTAATACTCTAAATTCCAGAAAGGTTTAGCAATTTGTTCAAGATTATTGCAACATCAACTGCAAAATAAATATTTTAGGCCCAGAACTGTATTGAATAGTCTATGCACATTATCTTATTAGATTCTTGTATTAATATGGAATTAATGAGAGAATTACTCCCAACGCTCAGTTCTATTTCTACCTAGTACTTTTCCCCATCGTGGCTGCATTTAGGTTATTTCTTACTATTACAATGCTCAACAGGAGTTAGAAGAAAACAAGTCCTTCGTTACTCCATAAGAGCTTAAAAACTGTCAAGTTTGAAGCCCAAATAGAAACCTTATGAAAGGAGAACAAAAAAAGATTGCTCCACCCTTTAACCTGCCTACAAGTAGCAAAACGATTACTATTTAAAACCATGTTTTAATATCTGAAATACATACAAATATATGCATGTACACACGCAAAATGGCTGTGAAAAACTGTAACTCTGCTAAATACGTGTCAAAATTAAATTATCTTATAACATAAGGTTAGAGGTAAGTCTTTAGTATCACTAACTCTGGCAACTTTTCAGTCTCCACTGCAGTCCTCAATGTATCTGAACGCTCGCTAAATGTTTAAATTCCTCAGAGTTCAATTCTGGGCCCTCTTGTCTCTTGTCTGTGACTTCATTTACTTCCAGGGCTTTAAATACAAGTTGGGTACCCCTCATCCTAAATGCATGGGGACCAAAAGTGTTTCAGTTTTCAGATTTGAGTATTTGCATTTACATATCGAGATATCTTGGGGATGAAATCCAAGCCTAAACATGAAATTAATTTGTTTCATATACATCTTACACACATCACCTGAGGGTAATTTTATGATATTTTAGTAATTTTGTGTGTGAAATAAAGTTTTGGCTGTGCTTTGACTGTGATTCTGTCACGAGATAAGCTGTGTAATTTTCCACTGTGGCATCATGTTGGCGCTCAAAAAGTTGTGGATTTTGGAGCATTCTGAATTTCTGGATTAGGGACGTTCAACCTGTACCATCTATATGTTCACAATTCCCAAATACACACTTCCAGTTCAAACTTCTTAGACAATTTGATTTGCATATAAAATTTTATAGGTATCTTAAAACCTGTCCAAAAATGGAGTTCCTTTCTCTGCCCCAAATCTGTATCAGAAAATGAAATCACCTAGCCAGTAATCCAAGAACCAAAAACCTAAAACTGATCTTAGATTTATCCCTGTTTCTTCCTCCCTACAATCAATCTGCCTGCAGGTAACATTCTTTCTACATCCAAAATATACTGTATATTTTAAAACTTTTCTCAATCATAACTGTCACTATAGTAGTGTAAACCATCACTGTTACTCACCTGAATTACTGGACCCCTTTCCTGGTCCCCTTATTTTAACTCTTAAGCCCTCTAACTTATTGGCTTAAAATCCTTAAATGGCCTCCTAACGTACCACGCAATTCATTAAAAAGCATTCTGCCATGACTTCAAGGCCTGGCATTATCTGGCTTCTGCTTCTCTCTGCAACTCCACCTTGTCCCATTCCTCTCCATTACCAACTCTTAGCCCCCTACTTATGACAGGATTTTATTCAATGTCTTTAGGAAGTGGCAAAGAATAGCCTCCTGCTGTTTGTTTGTTTTTTTTTTTAACTCACTCTGTTGCCCAGCCTGCAGTGCAGTAGTTCAATAATAGCTCATTGCAGCCTCAAACTCCTGGGCTCAAGCAATCCTCCTGCCTCATCCTCCTGAGTGACTGTGACTACAGGTGTGTGCCACCAAGCCCAACTCTACAGATGACATCTCACTATGTTGCTCAGGCTGGTCTCAAAACTGCTGGCCTCAGGTGTTCCTCCCACCTCAGCTTTCCAAAGTGCTAGGATTACAGGCGTGAGCCACTGCACCCAGCCTGCTGCCTTTTTAAAGTAAAGTTTTATTGGAATACTGCCATGTTCATTCATTTACATATGGTCTGTTGCTGCTTTTGTGCTACAAAAACAGACTTGAGGAGCTGTGACTGAGAACGTATGGCTCAGAAAAACAAAAATACTATCTGGTCCTTTACAGAAAAAAGTGTTGTACAGCCATTTGCTTTGCCTGGAATACTCTTCAACCCACTTTTCTGTGAGCTCTCTCTCATTCTTCTAATCCTGGCTTAAACACTACCATTTCCTCAAACAGCACTTTCTTGATCTGTGTAGTTGTCTTCATCATTTTTTCCTCTATCACTGTGTCCTGTTTTCTTGATATTTTATAACTAAACACTTGTTTACCTGTTTACTATCTGTTTCATAAGTGCAAGAATCAGATGCGTTCTACTTATATATTCCTTACACCTAGCTCAGAGCCTGGCAAACGGTTTTGAATGCTGAGTTCTGTGATGAGAAAAGTCTTACAGTATACTTTTGGCATTCTGACAAAATGATATATATTCTAAAAGTCTTTAAATCTGAAAAGCAGCAGAACTTTTTTCCCCCACTACGCTTTTTTACTTATTTAGAAAACCAGTTAAAAAAATTCCTGTGTAAGTTGAAATGTTTTCATTTTACTAAAACAAGATTTTTCTTATGGTAAAGTACTAAGGCCATAGCACACCCTAAGTTTTGCCTTGTGGTCTTGAGAAATGAACTAAATTCCTTTGGGTGTCAGTTTCCTCAAAGGAAACATTCTTCCAGAGGCAAGAAAAATAGTATCCTATTAGAAGTGCTTTTATTAGAGAAACAGTACTTATATTTTCTATGCCTGCTTCAATTTTATGAATTTATTTTGAATGCAGACAATCAGCTACTTTCATCCCAAAGAGACATCCTCTCTGAAGTTTCCCGTCATCTGCTGTCTACTTTACCAAAATGTTTAACTATGTTCACCATCCTCACCTTGATATCAACGTACCAACAAATTATATAACAGACCAGCCCTCAGTCTGTGTAAAAATTATATTTCCTTCGAATTCTTCAATATGAAAAGATGGGTCTTGGCTATGTATGCCATAGCACTAAAAGCACTTTGCTTTAAAATAAATAAATACATGGTTTGTCAGGCAGTTCAACTAACTGCCAAAAGCACTGTGAACTGAAAACTGATGAGCAGACCAAACAGTAACGTTTTCAGAACAACAAAAAAAGGTATATTCTGTGAAACTGAAGATAGGAATTTTCATTTGCAAGAGGTTCTATAGGGAATGATAATGAACAGATCCCTGAAACAGTATGTCACCTTCTAGTCAAAAGATGCAATGCAGAGATAGGCAATACTGATTTTCATGCGATCTATGTTTTTGCACATTGTATCAGTAACATCCCTAAGTCCCTTTTAGTATAACAAACAGACTTACCACTTTAGGAGACAAACATGTCAGATGGTCCTACCTATCAGTTAATAGTTCACTTTTCGTAGTGACCCCTTCAATACAGTAGTACGGTGTTTGTATGGTTATTAAAATGTTTCCATAAAGTAGGAGTAAAAATAAGATGAATAGAAAACATGAAAACAAAAGCATGGAAACTAGCAGAGACTTCAAAACCTAATTCAATTTAAATAATCAATGAACAGACATGCTAAAATTGCCACATTTCCTAGTCAAAAACTGACTGGTCAAATGAGTGTTTGTGAAACAAAAGAACATTTTCAGGTGCTGGCAATGATAATTAATGACTATGTATAAGAGAAATAAATGTAAGAATTTAGCATATACTGTATATTTTTAAATTTGGTACAATCAACTTGAATACATGTTTTAGGGAATATATTATAAAAACTGCCTATATTTTGAAATGATAGTTGCTATGGACTAAATGTTCGTGTTCTCCAAATTTGTATTTTGAAGCCCCAATCCCAAATGTGATAGTATTTAGAGCTGGGGCCTTTGGGAGGCAGTTACGTCTTGAGAGTGGTATCTTCATTAAGAAGATAGTACTATTATAAGATACACGAGAGACATGACCTCTCTCCCTCTCTGCCCTGTGAAGACACAGGAAGGAGGTGGCTGTCTAGAGACCAGGAAGGTCTGGGACTCTCATCAGAAAATAAATCTGCAGGCACCTTGATCTTGGACTTCTCAGTTGCCAGAATGGTGAGAAACATTTGTTCAAGCCATGCGGTTTACGGTTATAGCAGCTCAAGCTGATGAAGACAACAGTTAACCTTAAATGTGGGACCACTGTAAGCAACTTACACTATACTGAAATTCAGAGTTCTCATGGAGTTATGGCTCATATAAATTCAATATCTACCGGACCGTATCTTCAACATCCAATTGACTATTTGAGCCCAAAACTCAGTCACCAAAACACTGATCTCACACTCTGGCCTTCTCTCTTCTCCTCACTTTTTGGATGAACCACTTCTCAACCACAACACGTGACTACTATGTTTTTTTCCCGCATCTGTGCCCAAGCTTTAAAAAAACTGACATAGCACACATTCAGGCCAACTCCTAATAAGCTATCTTTTTCTTCACTGTCAATTCCTTAGTATATTCCTCACAAAGGCTTCTCCAAGTCTCTTCATCTCATTTTCAGAAGATGGATGGTTTACTTATAGACTCATAATTATTTTAGAAATAAAGAATCTCAGGGATATTATTTCCAACTCCATCATTGTACATATAAGTAAAGGATTCCTAGAATTTAAAGGACTACAGCTTTACAGTGAGTCAATTAACTTGAAGCCCCTTAAACTGAATTTCAGCATACTGCAACTTGATCAATTCATTCTACCTTAGGAGCAGATCTACAGAGAAGTCAAGGGCTCAGACTAAAGCCACATTGCCTCAATTCAGTTCCACCTAGCCCGCTTAATAGCTATATGCATCTGGACAAATGACCAATTCTCTGTGCCTTGGGTTCCTCATTTGTAAAACAGAGATAATAGCATTACCTGCAACATTGGGCTGTGACTGTAAGCTAAGTAGAAACATGTAAAAGCACTAGAACTGGGCCCAGCACACAGTAAATCTAAATTAAAGTTAATCATGTTCATTATCATTCCCTATAGAACCTCTGGCAAATGAGAACACATGCCCCTCCTCTAAGTTTACTTCTTTTCCATTGTTCTTAATTCCATACTCTATATCCAATAGCTCAGCTGTTCCAATCTTCTCTCCTTCAGTAGCTTTAAACAAAACTCTTCCACTTTTCCTTCCTTTGATGCCAAATTTCTTAAACTGGTCTTTTTCATTTCCCACACCTACTTACTACTATAGTTTGCTCCTAACATTCATCCCTTGGCTCTGGGCTCTTCGTTCTCTGAACTCCAACACTTGCTCCTCAGTATATGTTACCAAATGCCAAATCTCCACATCTAATTTTGAGTTCCTGCCCAAGCTCTAAATCTATGTGCCTCCAAACGTATGATATCTCTACTTGGGCATCTTACTATGATCTCACACTCAATTTTCCTCACATGCAATATGATTTCTAAGGTACCTTCCAAGTATAAACATTTTCAATATAATCTAAACAAATCTTACTATCTTCTCTACCCATTCAAATCCGTTTCCCACTATTACTTCACAGTATCTGCTATTGGTGGTACTGTAATTCTTCCAGTAACCAAGCTTTGTCTAGACTTACTTCAGAATTTCTGACATCCATTCATTTCTAGCCTATCACTTTACCCAGATCTTTCCAGTCTTCTCCTGATTTTAGTAAACCTCCCCTCAATTTTACATTTATAGCATCCTCATAATATTCTGACACATAATCACCCACTTAAAATCACATCTTCAAATATTCTGTCACATTACCACCCACTTAAAAACCTCCAATAACTGTCTACAGTTTAGTCCAAATCCCTTAGCCTGGCATTCAAATTTTTCTACAATCTGTTCCCAAACCATCTTTGTAACACTACAATCCACTAATCTCTGTAATTATTATATACCCCAGTCAAACTCTACTTACCACCTAAGTTTAACCAACTAGTTCATCTCTATATAATCTCACGACATCTGCCATCCTGGAATGCCTTCCACCACACTGCTCATATATATCCCAAATATTTTCCAAAACTCAGTTCAATTTCATCCTTTCCCATAAAATCTTACAGCCCAGGGCAACCTCTCCTTTGTTCGAATTCGTAAGCCATTTATTGCCTATACAACTCATTTGCCACTTTATGTAACGCCTCACACAGTTATCTAAATGTGTGTATCATCCATCTCTCACATCGCAATCAAAACCCCAGGAAAGGACAGTATCATATCTCTTCACATCCACAATGTTACCACTGAAAGCTGTGCATAACTTAATAAAAAACTGCTGATTGTGTGAAGAACACAATCATATTGCTTTATGAGATACTAACTGCCTGGCTCATGTAATTCCCTTTAAGAGAAAGAAATTGCAGAAGAAAGAGTAGAAATAGAAAATTAATGTTTTGCAACCACCATAGCAATAATGATTCATGCAAGAATCATCAATGGATGCTAAAACCATCACATGAAAGTTTCTAGGGGAATAGGACATTCATACAGTGTCAAAATATATCTGAACAGATTACGTATGAATTACAAAGGGAAAAAAGGTACCTTCACAGTGGAGAAATCTGGCGGACACCAATGATCAAAGTTAACATCACCAATAATGGGATAAACTGACATCAAGTGCCTCCTGATGTGATGCACTGAGGACACAACATCACTTACGTATTATTCCTGCCAAAAATGCATAACCTGAAACTAGTCATGAGGAAACAATCAGACACACCAAAAATGGAGGGATAATCTACAAAACAACTGACCTATACTCTTCAAATATGTCAATGTGCTGAAAGACAAAGAAAGGCTGAGGAATTGAACATGTGATCCTGGACCGGATCCTGGATCAGAAAACAAATTGCTATAAAGGAAATCACCACTATACAGGACAACTGGTGAAATCTGAATAAGGAATGTATTAGGCAACAGCATTGTATCGTTAAACTGCCTGATTTTGATCATTGTTCTTTGGTTAAGTAAGATAATTTTCTTATTTTTAAAAGAAATGTTGAAAAGTATTTTAGGGTCGATGAAATCTAAAACTTATTCTCTAATGGTTCAGCAATAATAATGTTGATATTTAACAGTAATAACAAATATCAATAGAAAAACTGGCAAAAAAAAAAATGTAGCAAAATATTAACAACTGGTGAATCTAGGTGAAGGGTGCCCAAGAGTTCACATTGTGCTATTTGTAAAACTTTTTTTCAAAATAAAATTTAAAAAATAAATACCCCAATACCACATAAAGACTATGAGAAGTTTTTAATCAGTTTGTGGCATTTTACGTTTTATTTGATAATCTTAAAGCAAAGAATTGTAATAAAAGTTATTTTCTAAATGCAAATACATTTAACATGCAATGAAGAGTTTACTCTATCAAAACATTTGATCTAAAAAAAAAACACCTTTCTGAAATCAGTGAACCACTTGTAATAATGTGAACAGCCCACGAATAATTTATCTTTAAAACTTAGTTAAAATACAGTCAATTTTAATTAGTGAACCATCTCAGAAATATTTTTTAAACGATGTAGTTATTATTGTCTTCAAATACACAGAAAAAGAAGAGAAAGTAAAAATGGGCTGGTGAAATCATTTTAAGGAAAAAAATTTCCTTGTAATTAATATACTAATAAGCATTTGTGAATTACTGAGTTTGCTTATGATTTATAGGATATATTTATTATAGATCACAAAATTCATCTCTCAATTATCAAAATTTTCAATTTAGCTGATTATAAATTTTGCATGAGTGTTTATAATATAGTCACAAATCAGTAATTTCTATAGGCTTCTGAAGCCTTTGAAAAAATACTTCTGGTCAAAGTGCAATATAGCATAAAGGATTTTCTACATTCAATATAGTATTACCAACAGTCCTTTAAAATTTGATACCTTATTTATGAGATGTTCGGTAACAACTTCTCTTAGTCCAGTGTAGAGCTTTTCTCCATGTTTATGCAAAACCATTGTATATGCATTTCTATACAGCTCCTCAAAACTAAGACCACTGTTATTCTTACGCTGGATTTCTTGAATTGCATTTTTCAGAAGATCCCAAATGCTGTTTACATATTTTTCATCCATGGTCATCTGTAATATCCAAGAGAGAGAAGAGACAAAAAAAAAAAAAAAAACAAAAAACCAATGGTTGAAAATCTTTCTATGTTTGTCCATATATAGCAAATATTTTATTACACAGCTATGATTATAAATCTATGGCACATAAGAATGTTAACAACCTGTTTTAACAGGGAAAAAAAAAGGGATAAATTTAAAACCAGTTTCAAGATCTGTTAAACACAATTTCTAATCTTTCAAGACTTCCCTCCAATCTTACCTGGAGCAGAGCTCTTCAGTTTAAATAATAATGGTTTATATACTCATAAGTCACTTACCCCTTCTCTCTCTCCCACCAAAACACTTGCCAAGTTAAATCCCAAGAGCCCACGTACTCCTGACACATATCCATATAGCTGAAAGAAAATGAAGAATAACACACGCCCATATTTTTGGTCCATCTGAGTTTAAATTCATCACCAACGTTAAGTGTAGCCTTTATGTGACCCCACAATTCTATTAGTCAGTCTGACTTCTAGATGATTTTATACTGTCTCCTCCATCCTCACTTTATGATCATGACTGCTTCCTACTCCACTAAGAAAATAAAAACAACCTGATGAGACACTATACAAATTCCAATCACTCAAAGTGCCAAGTTACTGTACTTGAAGTGTAGCATAAGGACCAGACACATAAGCAAAATCTAGGAACTTGTTAGAATTGCAGAATTAAGGGCCCCACTCCAGACCTACAGAAACAGAATCTTCTACATTTTACCAAGAACCCAAGGTAATATTACACAAAATGAAATTTGACAAGTAAAATCTCTAGTTCTATGCCAAACCACCTATTGAGAAGGCCTCTCTTTACTCATCTCAGCATCATCAAAATTTTTCCTCTGCTCAATAATTTCCATTCATACTAAAAACTGTCAGTGTCACCATGCAGAGTGGCTCATGCCTGTAATCCCAGCACTCTGGGAGGCTGAGGCGGAAGGATCACTTGAGCTTAGGGGTTTGAGACCAGCTTGGGCAATATAGTGAGACCTTGTCTTTACAAAAAAAATTTTTTTAAGAATTAGCTGAGCATGGTGGCACATGCCTATAGTTTCGGCTACTCAGGAGGCTGAGGTAGGAGAATCACTTGAGCCCAGGAGGCAGAGGTTGCAGGGAGCCAAGATCACACCACTGCACTCCAGCCTGGGTGACAGAGCAAGATCCTGTCTCAAAAAACAAAAAGAAAAAAAAATTGTCAGTTTCCTATGTTAAAAACAAATCCACACAACCCCATGTATTCCTTCAGCATGATCTAATCTCTCTTTCCATTTATGGCAAAATCACAAGCAAGCTGAAGGGGAGATTCTACATACACTGTGTCCAAGTTTCATCTTTCCATTATATCTTGAACCCAATCCAACAGGACTTTCATCTCTACCATTACACTGAAACTATTCGAGAAGGTTACCAGTGACTTCTATATTGCTAAAATCTAATGGTCAAAGTCTCAGTTCTCATCTTACTTTGACCAATCCAGCAGTATTTGAAAGAGCTGATTACTCCTACTTGTTGAACAAACATGGCCAGGCATGGGGCCTCACACCTGTAATCCCAGCATTTTGGGAGGCCGAAGTAAGGAGGGGTTCAACACCACGCTGAGCAATATGGCAAAACCCTGTCTCCACAAAAAATACAAAAATTAGTTGGGCATGGTGGCATGCACCTGTAGTCCCAGCTCCTTGTGGGGGCTGAGGCAGGAGGATGGCTTGAGCCCAGGAGGTTGAGGCTACAGTGAGCTGAGACTGACTGCACCACTACACACCAACCTGGTGACAGAGCAAAACCCTATCTCAAAAAAGAAGAAGAAAAAAAGAAATTCCTCACTTACCTTCTAAGCACTACAGTCACCTGTTTTTCTTCTCTTTCTGTCTCCTATTTGTTCGTCTGGTTTACTGGCTCTTATCACCTAAACCTCCAATCCTAAAGCTCAAGTTCTGATTTCTTATCTATCCACACTCAGTTTCTAGGTGGGGTTGATGTCATCTATTCTCATGGTTTTAAATCAATCTCAAAATTGATACATTCTCTGTTTGGCCCCCTCTGTCGAATACCGGAGTCCTATACCCAGCTACCTACTCAATGTTTCTACTTGAATGCGTAGGAGGCATCTCGAATTTACCAAGCCTAAAACAGAACTCCTAATCTTTTCCCTCACTTGGTTTCCCCTGAAGTCTTTTCCAACTGAGCAAACGTGTGCTCCATCCTTCCAGCTGCTCCAGCCAAAAAGCTTGTGATCATCATTAACTACTTTCTCGCCCCAATACTAATCCAACAGAAAATCCTGTTGTCTCTAACTTCAAAATGTATCCCTAGAATTCAACTCTTTCTCACCACTTCCACTGTTACTATCCTAGTCAAACCATCATCATCTCCAACTGGTCTCCATTTCTACTCTTGGCCTTCTATCATCAGGCAACCAGAGTAAGCTTCTGAAAGCATAAATCAATTTGTATCACTCATTTGCTCACAACCCTCAAATGATTTCTTATTTCTCTTGGAGTTAAAGTCAAAGCCCTTACAATGTTCTATAAGCTTTGTTGGATCTGATAATCTCTCAGCTTCATCCATTTCCCGCCCCCCTTGCTCACTCTGCTCCATGCACTCCCTGGCATACATCAAACAAGCTCATTTCAGTGTCTTTGTATTTGCTATTCTGTCTAGAATGTTCTTCCCTCAGATTCCTGCATGGCTCAAACCTCTACTCAACTGTCATCTTACAGTGAAGTTTTAAATGTCCACCTTATTTACAGTAACAGCCTCACCTCACTACTGATATCCAACTCCAACCCACATTCTTCATTCTCCTCCTAGTCTTACCCTCTCCACAACCAAATGTCAGCTTCATGAAGGGAGGGATTTTTTTTTTCACTCCTAAATTCCTCAGCCTCTAAAACAGTATCTGGCACATAAGAAGCATTTATACTTGCTGACTGATTTTCTGCTAATATCTGACTAATGATCCCCTTTTAAATGCCACATAAAATCTCCAAGTTCTGCATTTACAACCCAAGCAACATTGATCAGCTTCACACACACTTCTGATCTGAACTGGATAAAAATTACTGACTTAGTGGAATCCTCTCCAAGTCATGTCTGATGCGTATGAATGTGAAAAGAGGAAGGAGTAGGCAAAATAGTTATTTTAGTCACCCTGGCAGTAAAATACCAACTTAACTCTCAATCAAGAGGATCCTTAAGCAAATGACTCAAACTGAGTCTTGTTATTCTGATCTTTTCTGGAGAGCTTAAGAAGCAACTCTTTTTAACAGAACAATTTCTTTCCTTTTACCAAAATCCTACGCAAGACCTAGGTGTATCAGAGTTTTATCAAATGACTGTAAAAGAATTTACCCCACACCTATACTGCTACCTATTTTTAATCAGATATCCCTGATACACAGGATGTCATCCATAAAAAACGTA